GGGGCGGGCCGGTATCTGCAACCCCGGTGCTGAACTGCAGCCGAGAGCCGAGCTCGGTACAAAGAGCCGAACGTGCCAGGGGCAGTGGGAGGCGCTGTCCGGCCGGCGGGGGGGCGGCCCTTCCCCACGGCTGGGGGGCTTTCGGGGAGGCCCCGTTTGCCCCGAGCGCCCTGTCGGCCCCCTACCCGCGCCCCCTTTGCCTGGCACCAAGGCTGTGGACCCCGTCGGAGGATTAGGTGTAGCTGGGTCCCATCATGCCCACGCTGGTGCCCAGGCCACCTGTCCCTTGCCCCGCTGTCACTGCAGTGCGGGTGGGTCCCCTCCTCTTTGCTCCCTTTGCACCGACGCCTCGGTACCCCTCCCTCCACCCCTGGCACAGCCCGGGTGGCAGTTTGGCTCCACACGGGGCTGGGCAGGATGCTGGGCGTGGGAGTGCCCGCCAAGCCCTCCTGGAGATTTGGGGCCCTGTCTGGCAATCGGGGCTCTCCTGCAGGGCAGGGGCAGGGAGGGACCAGAAAGGCTGGTGCGGACTGGCATTGCCAGGAGCATGTGTCACCAGGGAGGACAGGGGCTCCGCACCCTGGCACAGGTGGCACCTGGTACCCCTGGGGTAGAGCATTGGCATCCAGCTTGGCACCAGGCATCAGCCTAGGCCAGGAGCTGTGTCCTGAGTGGGAAGAGGGTCTTGTGCCTGCTGGGCACTCATGCCGGGGGGGGGGGGGGGAGGAACGGGACCTGGGGGGGGTGCCGGGAGGGACCGGGGGTTTTGGGGGGCCCTGGGCCCCACCTGTGTAAGCATTTCAGTGGGGGGGGATCACCAGCATTTATTTGAGTGTAGGGTGAGGCAGTGGCCAGCTGGTAATGATTAACCTTGGGCTGAGCTAGAAGATTAGGCCCACTCCCCTGCCCCACACAGGGATTGGGGGGCTCTGTGCTTCCCATGCTTCCTGCTAGGTCCTGGGGGCCATGGGTCAGCCCACGGGGCTGGGCAGATGCTGCCCCCCACCTCTGCCCACGGATGCCTGGCCACTGCCCCTTCCCCCTGCCCCCACCTGAGGCTGCATCCACCTGTGGCATGGGGATACTGCTGGCAGTGTCTCCCTGAACCAGGGGAGTGTGGGGGACCCAACCCAGGAGGAGGATGCTGCAGGGGCCCCCTCAGCGAGGCGGCACACCCATGCCCTGTGCCAAGTGGGGCAGAGGGACCCCCCCTCCCTGGGGCCAGTAGCAGGGTGGGGCCTCCCCACCTGCTCCAGGTGCTCTATAAAGCTCCTGCCGCTGTTGAGCCACCAGTTCCTGATTCCTGGATTGTCGAGCGCGCCGCCAGCTAACGGGAGAGCAGCTGCTGCAGAGCCCCGCGAGGCACCGGGACCCCCCCGGGACGAGCCCCATGGCATTCAGCACCCTTCTGCTGCTGCTGGTGCTAGGCAGAGCACCTTCAGGTGAGAGGCTGGGGCTGGCGGCACCCTGAGCCGGAGGGAGCCAGCCTGGGACCCGGGCAAGCAGGGAGGTAATGGAGCAGGGGGATGGGAGTGGGGTCCCCTGGGCTGTTTTCTGAGTGGGGACCAGGGGACACCAGAGCTGGTGGCCTGCAGCACCCTGGTGGCAGGGACCTCACCATCTCTCCTGATCTGGCCCCGGGGTGTAGCACCCCAGGGCTGCTGGTTCCCAGCAAAGCCAGGACCTGGGGATCTCGCTCAGTTCGTGGTCCCTCTTAACCTTTCATGACTGAAAGGACCGGCCGGGGCCAGGCAGCTGGGCTGTGCTGGGACCAGCCGGAGCAGGCTGTGCCCGGGGCTCGCAGGCTGGTATGCAGGTGTGTCTCAGTGAGTCGTCGGGACCCCGGGCTCTTCTCCAGTGCTGCTGGCTCCTGCAGCACCCGCTGGGAAACCACGCAGGAGCCACCTGTACTGGCCAGCAGCCAGGCCATGCAGGCTCGGGGGGGGGGGGGGGGGGGGGGGGCACCCCACCTTCCCAGCCCAATGACCCACAGCAAAGGAGGTTTTACTGGGGGCGGGCAGCCTGTGCCTGAGCCCCCCAGTGTGGCAAGGTCACCCCAGGATGGGGGGGGGGCAGTTTGCAGGGCTAGACACAGAGCTGGTGCCAGCCGTCCAGGTGGCACTACCCACACTCTGGTGGTGCCACGTGTGCTCAGCAGAATCCCTACTTGTGGAGTGTTCCTGAAGGTCTTGTTGGCCTTGTGGGCAGCAGGAGCTGCCCGTGATCAACTCCTGGAGGTTGTGGTGCTTCTCGGACTTTGTGGCCCAGGGGAGTGTCTAGCTGAGGAGCTGCGTTGTGTAAAACCTTCACAAACCAGTGCTGCAGTCCCAGCTGCTGACTCCTAGTGTTTCCTGCAGGTACATGTGCCATGATCACCGAGACCACTACAGAGACGACCACAACTGACACAACCACTACAGAGACAACGATGGAGACGACCATCAAGACGACCACCACCCCCACGACCACCACTCTGAATGTCACGATCTCCAAAAACACAAGTGGCAACAGGACCCAAACCTCTGTCTCCTCTTACACCACAGTCTTCCCTGCCACAGGCAACACCACAAACTTCCAGTCCAGCGACAGCTCCACAGGCAACATCACAGCCAACAGCACCTCAGTGCCCGTCTCTAGCAGCACTGCCATCTCCCACACCAACACCACTGCAAACAGCAGCAACTGGGTCCCCCACTTTGGCACCGACACAACCAGCAACAGCTCTGCGGTTCCCACCTCTGCCACAGGTGGTGGCACAGTGATCCCCACCTCCAGCACCAAAGGCAATGAGAGCAGCAGCACTCAAGTCGTCCCCACGTGGAGAACTTCTGTCACCGCTCAGGGCAGCATGGCTCCCAGGCAGACCTCCACGGCTGTGCTGGGCAGCAGCAGCAGTCCCAGCCTCAGCAAAACCACAGCCCTGCTTCCTGCCGAGATCCAGCTGCTCATCCGCATCTCACTGTCCTTCCGCATTGTCAACAGGAGCTTCAACGAGAGCCTGCGCGACCCCACGTCGAAGGACTACAGGAGCCTGAGCCACACTGTCTTGACCATGGTAAGTCCCAGCCCTTCCTGCGGGCTGCCCGGGTGAGCAAAGACCCCCTGCGTCACAGACATGCTGGGAAGGAGCCACCTCCCATCAGGGGTCCCCATGAAAGTGCTCTGAGCATCCACTCTGCCAGCCACTTCAGCAGCCCCAGCTGGTCCTGTGAGGGGGAGCGGCGAGGGGATGGGAAGGAGTGGGTGTCTGCTGGGGAGGTGGCCGTCACCCCCATGCTTTGTTCCAGTTCGAATACGTCTTTGGCTGCGCGAGCTGCGTGGGTGGGCAGACCTACAAGGGATGCAGTGAGCTCCGTTTCAGGTGAGCGGGCCAGCAGCTCCAGCTGCAGAGGCCAGCATGTCCTGGCTGCAAGGTGCAGAGCCCCTCGCAGGGCATCTCCAGGTGCTAACATTTCCTTTCATGGGCAGCCAAGGCTCGGTGGAGGTGCAGTCAACCCTTGTGTTTGGGCACGGCAACGACACTGTCACCAGTGATGCTGCTGAGCAGCAACTGAAGAACAGCCTGGACCAGAATGGCTTCATCATGGACCTGCAGCTGGCCAGCATCCAGAGTGAGTGGGAGCTTCAGGCCGGGGGCGCGAGGGTGGACGGATCCCCGTGGGAGTGCCCTGGGAGGCTTCACAAGCGCTGCCCCATCCTGGCTGGGGCAGGGAGGCTTTTTGGCTGTGGGACAGGCTCAGGGCTTGCAGCTGACAGAGCCAATGCAGTTTCCCAGTGCCTGTGGTGGACAGCGCTGGGAAGACTAACCGGACCCTGTGGAGGAGGGCTCCTCCCCTCATGCCCCATCCTGGGGGTCTCTCAGGCCTGTTTGTCCTGGCCAGCCCTGTGGCTCTGCCCAGCAGCCCAGACACGGCTCTGGTCCTCTTTCAGGCACTGTGGACGTGGCATCCCCGGCACCGGTGCCCATGGTCCCAGACTGGGCCATTGCTCTGCTGGTCCTGGTCTGCATCCTGCTGCTGCTGAGCATCCTCACCTGCCTTCTGATAGTGAGTCCCCCGTCCCCATCCCTGTCCTCACCTGCCTTCTGCTGGTCCCCTGTCCCCATGCCCCCAGGCCCCTGACCCCTTCCCTCTCCCCCCACAGACCACCTGCACCTGCTGCCGCAAAAGCCGAGGGAAGCTGGACCTGTTCAGCACAAAGGACTCCTACCACCCCATGGCTGAGTACTCCCCATACCAGAGCCACAGGCGCTTCGTGTCACCCAACAGCAAGCCCAACCCCTACAGCCAGGTGAGAGCCAAGTGCCACCGTTCCCAGGGCTGCTCGTGCCTGGTGTCCCAGTCGCTGCAGGGCTGGGGTGGTGCAGGGGAAGGTGCTTTTCGGTGCAGCTGGGTAGCTGGGTAGGTCCCTTGACCACTGGGTTAATGGCTAACAGAGCCGTTGGGACAGGGGATGGGTGGCCGTGCGAGCCTGCCCCACACCGGTCCCCTCCTGGCTGGGAGGTGAGCCTAACTTTCACGCCTGGATGGAGCAGCAGCGCTGGGCGCGCAGCCGGTGCTGGCAGACCCGGCCTGGCTCTGGGGAACTCCCCACGACCTTAGGTGGCTGCTCCCCCTACCCAGCCCTGCACAGTGGGCAGGGGGCTCACTGCCCCTTCTCCCTGTGTCCCAGCCAGACCTTTCCATCTGCCAGAGTCAGAGCATCCTTCTGCCATGGATGGGGAGTGGGGTTGGGGTTGGGGCTGGGGCTGGGGCAGTGCAGGGGTGGCAGGGGGCTGATCCCCGTATCCTGCACCCTGTATCCTGCAGGTGCAGCATCAGGAGCTGCCTGTACACACAAAGGGTACGGCTCCCCCGAGTGATGTATGTGGGGTTTGGGGGACCGTCCCCATCCCCGCAGTGCGCTGCACTCCCCTGCACGCTAGTGCTGCAGGCGGGGGCCGTATCCAGCTGCTTGGCTCTGTGCAAGCAGCTTGCCCTGTTCAGATACCAGGGGCCTGGGTAAATATTTACCTTTGCTCTTGCCAGGTAGGCGTATCGCGCAGGAGGGGAACGCAGCCAGGGCCACTTCAGCTTCTCCACCAGCTCCTGCACCCAGGGGGGCTCGGGGTGCCCATGGAGGTGGTGGGTGCCCGCAGTGCCCATGGCTGGGTGCAGCTGCCCACCATGCGGGGGGGGGGATGCATTTTTTGGCTGAGCATGGGCCTGTCCATGGTGCCCGTGGTGAGGGTGTGGGGGTTCCCCTGCTGCCCCGGGGTAGGGGCTGAGGAGGGGGCTCAGCCCGGCCCCTCCCCAGCCCAGCTCTGACGCCCCTTCACTGATCCCTCCCCAGGTGGCCAGCAACAATGGTGCGGGGGCCGGCACCTTCACCTGCACTGACCCTGCTGCCACCTCTGACAACCTGTGAGGGATGCACTGGGATGAAGGGCGACTGCCGAGGGGAGGGGGTAGCTGCAGCCCCTCACTCCCAGGGGAGCAGCACCAGCCCTGGTCGCGTCCCCCGGTGCTGCTCAGCCCCTCGCCAGCAGGAACCTCGGCAGCAGGAACCAGATGGTTCTGGAGCAGCTGGATTCATGCGCATGACGGAACTGGATGAACAAAGATTTGGGGGCGGGAGGGAGGGTACCCAGCACCCTCTGGCCCCTGCACTCACTTGGCTTCGCAACCCTGCTCCGTGCTGTGGGTGGTGGACCGGGCTTGTGCCCCCCCCGTGCTCACCCCTGGGGGTTCAATTGCTCTTTTTGTGGTGTTATTTTATATAAATGTCAATGTGTGGAGTGTTACCGCCAGGCTTGGCTCAGTGGGGAAGCAGGGTGGCAGGGTCCTTCGCTGTGGTATATTTATCACATTTTGCAATAAAAGGATGGGTGCAGTTGGGCACCGTGTCTCACAGGGCTGCGGCGAGCCCCGCTGTACCGTGATGCCTCGGCGGCTTCCCCAGCATGCTGGGTGCCTCCCCTGGGTGAGTGACTCTCCTTCTGGCTCTGTGGCTGGTGGGATGTTGTTGGCATGGCCATTGCCCACATGGGTGACCTCGGCTTGGGGGGGCTGCTCTCATTTCTCGGGCCAGGCACACCTGGGGTTCGTGCTGGGGTTGTTTCACATTCGCTGTCATTGTACCTAGTTGCCTGGGTGTGCGGTGTGTTCCCTGTGTCCCTTGGGTGTGACCATGTCCTGCCGGGACACCACCCCTCTTGCTCACATCCCACCCGCCTGTCCCATACTCTCAGTTTCTGTCTTATGAGGAAACGTGTCTCATTTGGCACAACTGGTTATCTCGCCGCCGCACAAGGTGACAACGGGGCTGCAGAGCTGTGGGATGAGCGCTGTGAAGGCTGTATGTACATTGCTGATGCGCACACAGCCATGTCTGAGCACAGCCAGTCCCACTCCCCTCCCCTGCCTGGTCCTGGCTTGAGATCCTCCAAACCCTGTGTGAGCCCTGAAACTGCTTTGGGGGCTGCTAGGAGGAAGGGGAGCACAGCAGGGCTGGGGACGTGCTGAGGGGCAGGGCGGTGGCCCCAGCAGGGCTGGGGACCAAAGCAGGACCTGCCCTGCCCGGCACAGGGCTGTGTGGCGGGCTGTGCCAGGGCACAAGCCTTCGGGACAGTGGTGCCCTGAGCTGGGGCGGGTGGCCCCCCCCCGGCAGTCCTGGATTGGGCTGGGCCTGTGCTGGGGGCTGGGAGGGTTTTGGCAACCACTGAAAAGGCAGAAAAACAAGGAAACAAACCTTCCCCAAAGAAATCCCTTGTGAGCTCAGGCGCTGAGCCAGCTGCTTCACTGGGAACCAGTCCTGGGCCTGGCCCAGCAGCGTGTGGCTGATGGGCACCTTGGCTGCAGCACATGGGCTCCGGCTGGGGAACGCAGCTGCACCGGATACCCGGTGACCCCCGGCATGTGGTCAGAGGTGCCAGGGTGCAGGCAAGGGGCTGGGGGGACTCTGGGGCCAGGGGAGTCTGCCTGGTGAGAGGGGGGTGATGCAAGCCCCAAAGCTAGTGGTGGTGCTGGGGGGGGTGCCTCTACTGCTTTTGGTTTTC